GTAGCTTGACCTCAATCCGTCTGGTCAAGGATCTAAATGCGATGGCTGCCACCAGACATCACTTCGGACTCGACCCGACTAGGGAGTGGACTGCACTCGTCCGAGAGTTAAATCTCGTCCTATCTGTTCTCCATTCTTTCTGCCCAGAGTAAGCTTTTCCTACCACTCTGGCCTCCCGCCTCTTCTTCCCTTCTCCTAACCAACCGGGCCTGGAAAATCGTAGCTGGTAGGGTTAACCTTATTAACCTCAACCCTCCTCGATAAAACCTCCTCAATCTAATCTTATCACTAACAGCAATCCTAACTCTATTCCCTCTGACATTTAGAGCAAGGCTAAGTGCAATACGAGGGGACACATCCTTATGCTCTACTTGGGCAAATCCTAAGCGGTAAATAGAAATATTGAGAATTCACAGACGATCAGGTAAACTTGGAAAAAAATGCTGACTACAAATAAACCCTGGATCGACATTATATGACCAGGCCTTACAAATTATGATCCCTTTAATTCTATAGCGGAAACGGAACGGAGTTCAAGGAGCAAATGAACACGTCACACGAAATGAGACGAAAGAAGATGAACTTGAGGGAGAAGCAAAAAATAAAATTGTAGGGGTCTGATGATTAGCTGCTACTTATACTCAATACTTAAGTAAATAAATTTTATATTTTAGGCCCGGAGGGCCTCACCATTACAAACTTAGTGCTGTGGTAAAAAATAAATACAAAGGCGATAATTGCTGCTCTGTGTGGGCGATCACATAAGCAGCGGAGGTGTTTAGTATGGTAGGCAGATGATTTCATATCCGCCATCATATCTTCATGTTATAATAGTAGTCAACACTCTCGTAAAAGTATGGTGACTAAGGAGGAAGCGGTGAAAAAAACTCCTATCATGAAAGCGGGGCAGAGTTCAGCGGACCCTCACTTTATAAAAATAAAACGTAAGCAGCCTTGCGCCAAACTTCGGGCCTGCATACTCTCCTGTCCTAAATTTAGCTTTAACTCTAACCTGAACTCCAAACCTAACTTCCATGGAATTTAGCGTAAGGCTACCTGTATAATGAAAGCACTTGTAACCCTGTGGTGACTCACTCCACATAGGCAAGCATGCCCCAAGGCCCACCGCTGCTAACGCGTGCGCCTGCACTGAAGGCGGCCTCTTGAACAGCCAATCACAGATGCCGCAAAGGTGGTCTCGTCCGGCGGCGAATAAGACGCATGCACGCCTAGGTCGATGCAGTCTGTTCGGCCAATAACCTCTAAGGCCCAGACAATGAACGCTCTCGCTGGCCGCCGGGATGCCTACTGCTAAGACATCACTTAGGACCCGGCTGGCCTCCTGGCTGGTGGTGTGCTCCGAAGTCAAACTTCCACCTGCTCATTCTCCATTCCTCTGTATACAGAATAAACTATTCCTAACACTCTGGCCTCCACCGACTTCTTCTCTCCTTAGGAACTTTGGTCTGAAGATCGCGGTTGCTAGGGTTTAACTCACTTAATCCCCTGAGATAACCCCACCTCAACCTCCTTTAGAGCAGCTGGACATTTGCACACATGCTGTGACCCTTCCCCCTGCTAATAAAGTGTGCCCGGCAGTCACCCGGGGATTTTAGATTGATTACTTTGGAAATTCTCTCTGGGCCAGTCAACCTACTGTATCATAATTGGTGGATCCCAGGGCTTGCAGTAGGCTGGGCGAGTAAATTGACCCAAGCGGGATTAAACTAACGACTCCCCGATGGGGACCTCGTTGCTCAGAAAGTTGGGCGTACTGAAGCCTTTCCCTTGCTGGTGTGGGTTTGAATCCCACCGAGGCCACCGCGAGTTCTACACAATTGGGTTAAATGACTTACTCAAATCTGCCCCCACCTCCCTACTGACGAGAAAACTAAAAACAGCTTGTGGTTTAGGCCAGCAATAACCTGGCTTGTGCGTTTGACCTGCCGGGGTTGGAGAATTAAAGAAAGTAAGTGTTTGATGAGCAGAACGACGTGAGCGCTACATTATGTGTTTGAAGGAGTACGAGAGCAGACCAGCGAGAAAACACATTATATTTTAGTCCACTGATGTTAACCACCTCGTATTACCTGATATTTGTATTAATTTTCCATGTCCCACGGAAGTTTAAGAGGAAGGCTGACTTACCGACACCTTCTTGATCAACCGGTCTCTTTCGGAATTGCTGATGATAAGTTCAGCAAATCTGGTTTCCATTTTCCGACGCAACTGAAACAGCTTCGATTGGACGCCATTCACTTGCAACGCAAGGAGTAGTGTATCACTCCTGGGAAACAAAAAAAGCTGCGTAACTCTCAGTACTTTTTATATTGAATGGACCAACTCCCGTTACTTTTTCCAACCACTTGAAAACCTTGGTATGGAACGACCTAGAACCCGTCCTTATGAGAATTAGAAGGCGTTATATTCGGCGGTTAGATACCTAGCATGGGAGGCTCGTCGATGATCTAACTACAGTGTTTAAAATACTCGTCCCATTGCTCATTGCCGTCTGGTCCGGAGTTCTCGCAGACAGGCCCACAGCTATCAGTAATATACACACGAGGGGTTGCGATAAATTAGGCTGAGATGGCAATTTCAGGATTATTAGCCTACATCAGCCCCTTTCTAGAACGAAACGGGGGTTCAAGCCCGGATTGTCAATTGAAAGTTTATTCCAACGTTCTGGCATTGGGCTATAGGTGTGTTGTTCTGCCAATTGCAATCGAGAATTTTAACTAGTGCACGAGATTTTTCGGTTGACCCGGCTATAGCGAGGAATGTGCTCATACTGTTGCGTATTACAGCTCACTCTAGA